CTGACACAGCGAAGAATAAAAAAAAGTAGGAAAGGAAAGTAATAGAGAGGGGTTGGAGAGAAGAACAGAGAAAGAGAAAAAGAAGACAAGCACCACACACCCCCCCTAACCCCGCCCGCCTCCAAAGGGACGACGAGCTCAAGAAAAGGAAAAAACAGTGAGGGGGGGGTCAGCATGGGTCTGTAGAGGAGTGGGGTCGTCGGCCCCTGAAGTGGCGCCAGAGAGATGGGCGGAAGATAGTAAAAAAAAAAAATCAAAAACAAAAAGAGAGAAAAAAGAAGAATGAGGGGGGGAGGGGGGGAGGAGGGAGAAGAGAGAAAAGAAAAAAAAAAAAAAAGAAAAAAAATAAAAAACGGAAAAGAAAAAAAAAAAAGAGGAAGGAGAGAGGGAGAGGAAGAAGGGCCCCCGCCCCCCCCCCCCTTTTTTTATTTTTTTTTTTTTTTTTTATTATTTTTTTTAAAAATCTCGAGTAGTTTTCTCACTTACCGCCCCGTCATTCCAGTTCTTGCTGCTCTATTGTGCAGCTTGTGCTTGGATGAGCAAGCCAGCGACCTGGAAGCCTATGGCGGCCTCGTGATTCACGATGGTTCGTTCTACGTCCCTTCGTTCAGAATATCTGCCTCCTTCCGGCTAAAATGTTGGGCGCTTCAAGTTTTATTCTTGTGCAGTATCATGGCCCTGTGGAGTACTGTTTGGGAATGTTTCTTATCTGCCTGTTCTATTTTTTTTATTAGTCAATTGTTCCAGGTATTAGTTAGGTGGAGGACAATTGTTAACTTAAATCCTTTTACAAATTTTGATTGTGTGCCGCGAACGCGAGGTAGGATACACTCACTCTCTATTTTCCCTCTTTCTTCCGCCCCCTTAAATCTCTAACCTTATTGACACTTTTACCTTTCGTGTTTGATTCTCTCGAAGATATGATTGGGCCTGGAACCTAATGGATGGGGGGAGGATCCGAAGGGCGCCCTGAGTTAGGACAACGAAACATTGACAGGAGGATGTAGATTGTTCTGCTTGCAATGAAACAAAACTATGTTACCTCCATTCCACGAATCATACTTTCAAAATTAAACAGGAAACCTACCGCACCTTGCCGGAAAAGGAATGTAGCTTGAGAGATAGTAATTTCGTATAGTTACGTGAGTCACCTTCATTGGGCGCATATATCCAACTTGAATGCATGATGACCCGGAAGCAAAGTTCTGTCCCTGGGCCTCTGTCTCTATTCGAATCGATACACGACTTCTATTGACTATTGAGGAGAATATTCGATTTAACATGATAATACACTGCACACGGGAAGGGTCATGCCTCCCGGTATCCATCTAACAGTAGCCCCGCTCAGTATGTCATATTCAAACAACCCAGGCGCCCTCCAGGACTGATTCTGGGGTAGGGTCCATTTGATGGCATGCTTTAATCAACATCCCATGCGGTTGTTTTTCCGATGTCGTTCTACGCCTCGGTTGCAGAGACAGGTAATCACATTGCGCGATGTGTGGCTGGCTGCTCAACATGAAGTCTCCCGTCCAGAATATCAAGGCTCTGCTTGTTGTGGTCAGATCGATATCAAGAAATGCAGGTGATATGGAGTAATGTGGTTTGGAGGCCTGCAACGAGAAGGAATTTGTCAAGGCACTCCAAACGAATCAATGGTATCTTTTCCTGCGTCGTATTTACGCGCAATGACAATCTCAAAATTATCCCCCCTGTTTATCGTTCATATTTTCTGTATTTTCCATGTGAATATCTTTGTTGTTGCTGATGGAGATCCTGTAGACGGATAGGACTCTCAAGACCGCAATACAGAGCTGAATATCTAGTTGAGAAGCTGCATGAATGCCATTTAGTGATGACAGAATTATTTTCGCGTGCCAGACTCCCACGGAGATGGACAGTGCTCTGGATTGCGCATCCGACAAGGGGACACGATGTTTCAATCCTCGTTTCCTGCTAGTTGAGCAAATGTGGGGTGTTTTTGATGAGACGGGGCTTCCCTGCCAATTTGTATCCATCCAGAAGGAGTTTTCTGACGCAGGAACATGAAAAAGAAGCCAGGTATTATGCTTGCTGCGAACCCGGAGCCCGAAGTCCCGCTTTTCCAATATTCCAACCTGGAATGAGGATTCATGCCTCACTCAGCGCTTAATGGCCTGCCAAACTCCTATCTTCGACAAAATCTCACGAATTCTCCCTTTCGTTGTTGCGGCGCAAGTAGCAGCAGACCCAAATCAACGACGTCATCACATCAAATCCATCCAAGATGGGTGTTGATGGGTGCGGAGAGTGTTGTTCCATTGGAAGGCGGTCGATCGGCCAATGCGACGAGACGATGATACCATCAACATGGTCAGTCAACGGCCGCAATGGCAGCGCGGACGAGCCGCAGTGCAGGGGCTCGCGGCTTGTTTTTCACGGATGCTGGAAGGTCATTTTACGCCCCTTTAGCGTAGTTGTTTGGTCTGCGGGGAAAGTTCGTGATAGAATTTTACCCCTGACTACCCTTGATGGGTCGGCAGCAAGAACGCAACGAATTATCTAGGCAGCATCATCGTCATCATTCTCCTACCTGGGCCTCTACGGTTGACATTCTCCACGCGCCTGTTCTGTGCCCCTTTGTCTTCTCCAGAACCCCATATTCTTCTCCCCGAAGTTCTTCACACATTCCTGCCTCCCGATTTACTACTCATTAGGCACCTGGGCTAGACCACCACAGATCCAGATGGCGCCGCTTGAATACCTACAGAACTTTATCACAACGGAATTGACCTCGTGGAACCTGTCAACTTCTGATTACGACAAGGAACGGCCATAGGCGCAACAACCAAGAAGTGTGGCGGGGCTTGCAAATATCGGTACTCCGTAAATGCTAACGAAATGAAAAGGATATCAAGATGTGAAGCCGGGAATCATGTTTGGCCCGCAAATTTCGCCCTACATCAAACCAATCCTTAGAAATACGAACCTGAAAAATGTTGCCCCGTATCAATTTCTAGAAGACTCTCTTCCGGTCCTCCGATCGAACTAGTTATTTCAAATTTGAAGAACACCCACTCCTTCACATCAAATTAGTGATTAATGTATGGCCAAGGCGACGTTGGGCACACACTGAAAACCAATATATATGAGAGCAGACCCACGCTTCAACATGCGGCATTCAATTCTATTTCTGATCGTCTCATCCTTCTTGTTTGGGATATGATCGATGTACGATAGACGCTGAGATGGCGATGATTGAGTCGTCAAAGCGTTATTTTTCAGCCACAGCAATTAGATATCAGGAAATGAAATCGTATGCACCGTATGCACACTCAAGGCCGTTGAAGCCAGGATGTGATGTGGCGTGGTCGCTAACCCTGTCGTATCTTAGGCTGGAGATGGCACATTATCGAGTGATCATGGCTTGCGCTATCCTGCTAGCCACAACCTCCATAAGCACCATAAATCACATCAAGGGACATAGCTCATTGGTCTCCCCACAGTTACAGTGACTCTTAACATGTCGATGTTGCATCAACAATTACCCAACTGTCAACTCTCGGAAGGCTGAGGAATGTTAGAGCCGGTCCCTTGAGACACTCCAAACACCAACCCACCAACGATGGCGGCCATTCCGCGCAGAGCAAGATGGGGTTTTCTTTCGTCCCGTTGGGGAATGCAGAAGAAGGCTTCATGTGCCATTTACGCAATTACCTAAGCCCAATGTCACACTGCGTTGGGCATTACACAAAGCCCTCTCAACGTGGAGGCTTCTCTATGTACCTCCACTCGTATTCTTGGCTGAGGTTGCATGAAATTGAGAAACCAGGTTTGTGGATCTCCAAGGACCGTCTTCCCACTTTCTGTTTTTTTCGGTTTGGCTGTGGAGTCCTGGTAAAGTACCCCGGGAGCTTCAAAAGGGTGTCGATCAATCAGCCCCAGTTGCTATATAAGGCACGCTGCTCCGCTCCCAAGAGGAAAAAAATTATCAGCAACGGAATCCAACCCCATTCCTTCCTTCAACTGAGCGACATTAGTTTGACCCTCCCAGCATGCACCTCCGGCGGCTGCTACAGGCCGCGGCCACAGCTACATGCTTGGCAGGTGTTGCAGTTGAAGCTGTCGATGTTAACCCACTACCCGCTCCAGCTGATATCACCTGGGGGACTTCCGGGCCCATCCATATCAGTGAAAGACTTGAGTTTAGAGGACCCAACAACTATCTTCTCAGGGCCGCCTGGAGGCGCGCATCCGACGCAATCAGAACTATCAGATGGACTCCTGCCGTGGTCGAAAAACCAATTCCAACATTTGAGCCGTTCCCGGGCAGTTCAAAGGCACAGCGCGACAGCGTTTGGCCACCACAGCGCTCCCTGGTCAGAATGGTCAATGTTAAAGTCAAAAACGAGCGGGCCGAATTACAGCATGGCGTTGATGAATCCTACACTCTGGACATCAAAGAACGATCTCATTCTATTGATATCACTGCCAACACCATCTGGGGAGCTATGCATGCCTTTACTACACTCCAGCAGATCATCATTGCCGAGGGCTACTGGCGACTGATCGTCGAACAGCCAGTCTCCATCAAGGACCAGCCACTGTATCCGTATCGCGGCATCATGGTCGATACTGGTCGTAATTTCATTAGCCCAAAGAAAATCAGAGAACAACTGGACGGAATGGCATTAGCGAAGCTCAATGTTCTCCATTGGCACATGACTGACTCTCAGTCCTGGGCCTGTCAAGATTAACCGCTATCCCCAAATGACGAAGGGCGCCTACTCCCCCCGTGAAGTATACACGCCAGAAGATATCCGCCACATTGTCCAATACGCCAGGGAACGTGGAATCCGTGTCGTCCCGGAAACTGATATGCCAGGCCACTCTGCAAAGGGTTGGGAGCAAGTCGATCCTAAGATGATCGCTTGCGCCAATTCTTGGTGGTCTAATGATGTTTGGGCGCTTCACACTGCAGTCGAACCAAACCCAGGTCAACTCGATATCATCTACGACGGAACTTACAAGGTCGTGGAAAATGTCTACAAGGAGCTCAGTACTCAATTCCCAGATAATTTCTTCCACACCGGTGGCGACGAGGTGCATCCTAACTGCTTCAATTTCAGCAGCATTATCCGGGATTGGTTCGCTGAGGACTCTAAGCGTGACTTCAACGACCTACTTCAGATATGGGTCGACAAAGCTTATCCGATTTTCAAAGACCGCCCCTCCCGTCGCCTCATCATGTGGGAAGATGTCCTTCTCGGCGGAATGCATGCGCACACTGTCCCCAAGGACGTGATCATGCAATCATGGAACCTGGGTCCAGAAAACATCAAGAAACTCACTTCTCAAGGCTACGACGTCATTGTCTCTTCTGCCGACTTCCTCTACCTTGACTGTGGTTTCGGAGGCTGGGTCGGCAATGATCCCAGATATAATGTCATGTTCAACCCAGACCCAGCACACCAAACTTCAACTACCTTGGACCTGGGCGGCTCGTGGTGCGCCCCGTACAAGACCTGGCAACGTATCTAC